CCGTCACCCCCAGCACCCACCCGTCACCCCCCGGCACCCACCCGTCACCCCCAGCACCCACCCGTCACCCCCCGGCACCCACCCGTCACCCCCAGCACCCACCCGTCACCCCCCGGCACCCACCCCGTCACCCCCCGGCACCCCCAGCACCCACCGTCACCCTCCCGTCACCCCCAGCACCCACCCGTCACCCCCAGGACCCACCCGTCACCCCCCGGCACCCACCCGTCACCCCCCGGCACCCCCAGCACCCACCCGTCACCCTCCCGTCACCCCCAGCACCCACCCGTCACCCCCCGGCACCCACCCGTCACCCCCAGCACCCACCCGTCACCCCCGGCACCCATCCGTCACCCCCCGGCACCCTCCCCGTCACCCCCCGGCACCCTCCCATCACCCCCCAGCACCCTCCCGTCACCCCCAACACCCATCCGTCACCCCCAGCACCCACCCGTCACCCCCCGGCACCCTCCCGTCACCCCCCGGCACCCTCCCGTCACCCCAGCACCCTCCCGTCACCCCCAGCACCCTCCCGTCACCCCCAACACCCATCCGTCACCCCCAGCACCCTCCCGTCACCCCCAGGCACCCTCCCGTCACCCCCCCCCCAGCACCCTCCCGACACCCATCCGTCACCCCCAGCACCCTCCCGTCACCCCCAGCACCCCCGTCACCCCCAACACCCTCCCGTCACCCCCAGCACCCTCCCGTCACCCCCAACACCCATCCGTCACCCCCAGCACCCTCCTGTTACCCCCAGCACCCTCCCGTCACCCCCCAGCACCCTCCCGTCACCCCCAACACCCATCCGTCACCCCCAGCACCCTCCCGTCACCCCCAGCACCCTCCCGTCACCCCCAGCACCCTCCCGTCACCCCCAGCACCCTCCCGTCACCCCCAACACCCATCCGTCACCCCCAGCACCCTCCCGTCACCCCCAGCACCCTCCCGTCACCCCCAGCACCCTCCCGTCACCCCCAACACCCATCCGTCACCCCCAGCACCCTCCCGTCACCCCCAGCACCCTCCCGTCACCCCCCGGCACCCACCTGTCACCCCCAGCACCCATCCGTCACCCACTCGTCACCCCCAGCACTCACCCGTCACCCCCCGGCACCCACCTGTCACCCCCAGCACCCACCCGTCACCCCCCAGCACCCATCCGTCACCCCCAGCACCCATCCGTCACCCCAGCACCCACCTGTCACCCCCAGCACCCATCCGTCACCCCCAGCACCCATCCGTCATCCCCAGCACCCACCCGTCACCCCCAGCACTCACCCGTCACCCCAGCACCCATCCGTCACCCCAGCACCCACCCGTCACCCACCTGTCACCCCCAGCACCGATCCGTCACCCCCAGCACCCACCCGTCACCCACCTGTCACCCCCAGCACTCACCCGTCACCCCCCGGCACCCACCTGTCACCCCCAGCACCCACCCGTCACCCCCAGCACCCACCCGTCACCCCCCAGAACCCATCCGTCAGCCCCAGCACCCATCCGTCACTCCCGGCACCCACCCGTCACCCCCCGGCACCCACCTGTCACCCCCAGCACCCACCCGTCACCCCCAGCACTC